GCTGGTGTTTTAGCAAGTTCCATCAAACATGGCAGAATACTCGATCTCATTGGACCGTTACATTGTGACGTTTTCAACCAGGAGAAATATTTGTTAAACGGCGTTGACATGCAGCTACGGCTTGTTAGATCTAAAGATAATTTCTGCTTAATGCAATCTGGAACTGGGGATTATAGGGTCCATATCACAGAAGCTACGCTACTCGTGCGGAAAGTGAAAATCAGTCCGATGATTCTTTTAGCTCATGCTAAAGCTCTGGCTCAGACACCTGCGAAGTACCCCATAACAAGAGTCGAAGTAAAATCTCTTTCTATACCTGGCGGTATACAGCGAGAGACTCTCGACAATGTTTTTATCGGTCAATTACCGAAACGAATCATCGTAAGCTTTGTCACAAATAAGACTTTCAATGGAGCACCTGCCAAAAATCCGTTCAATTTCCAACATTTCAACATGAATAATCTATCGCTCTATATTGATGGCGTTCAAATACCCAGCAGGGCTCTTCAACCTGCATATGATAAAGAGTTATCAGTCCGAAACTACTATACTCTCTTTATGGGAACTGGTATTCACTACGGAAATACAGGAAATGGCATCGGTCGTACGGAATATAATCCGTTCAATTTCCAACATTTCAACATGAATAATCTATCGTTCTATATTGATGGCGTTTAAATACCCAGCAGGGCTCTTCAACCTGCATATGATAAAGTTATCAGTCCGAAACTACAATACTCTCTTTATGGGAACTGGTATTCACTACGGAAATACAGGAAATGGCATATTTTTAGACTCTACTTCCTCCTCGTAGACTCTTTTCACAACTCGTTGTTGTTGAGGTGTAAATAATGCCGGTGCTGGTAGTGATGGTGGCGATGATGATGATGATTGTTGTGGCGGTGGTGGTGACGGTGGTGACGAGAGCGGTGAAGCTGGTGATGGTGATGACGATGACGACGACGATGATGATGATGGTGATGGCGATGGAGGTGACGGTGATGGTGCTGATACTAATGGCAATGCTGGTTCCTCATGAACGAGGGCTATTGTCTTAATATTGACACCTAATTTTGTTTCAATAGCAATGAATAAATTTATGACATTAGTACGAATTTATTAGACAGAGAAATAGAAGTACACTAGCTACCACTTGAGCACAATTTACCACGGCTTCTGATCACTCGCACTCGCCTATCGTTATCTTCACCACGAATTTTCAACACGTCGTAGCATAGGGCAATCGTCCCCTGGTGTTCCATGCACTCCTTTTTGTACCATTGAACAATTTTTGGTATCTTCGCGTTTTCGAAAATCCTGCGTAACACCCTCGAATCTCGACCAGGATCGTTTGGCCTATGGAACTCCTGGCACATCAACTCCCTGAGGAGAGATGTTACTGGATGGTAACGTAAAATTTTTTTTAAATCTTGCTCCATTGCAGCCACTCTGCGGTGCTTGTAACTAGTACTGAAGTGCTGTACCATCTCTATCCACTATTTATAAAAAAGGATGAACTACCCCAAATTAAGAAACACATCAATAAAACGCATCATTGTACTCAAAGCTGTCGATCTGACTTATAATAAATATATTATACCTCGAAAATTATTATTATTATTATCATCTGGACTCTACATTCTCACCTTAGGTTTAAAGAAGTTCATTTTTGCGAAGGATGAGTGAAAGAGGGACACATTATTACAGTATAAAACATGTTTTTATTGCTATTATTATTATTATTATACAAATTATTCTTATTACTACTACTATTACTAGACTTACATAGGTATATTTCTCACCGCTTCCTCGATATTTAACAAATTTTCTAATGCCTCCTCTACCTCCGGAGACATTAGAAGCATGTCACTTTCAGGGTATAGAGGAAGCGGTGGCGACGCCGGTTCCGTTTTTACTACTGCCTCATCGTCATATATTGTTATGACCGGCGGCTGGAAAATTTTATTTTGTAGCGCCGTAAGTTGGGCACATACATTATCCAGCTGCTGGCGCATAATAGTAAGGTCGTCCTGATTGCAGGATTTTTTTACTATAAACAGGAATAATAAGTATTAAATGAAATTCTTGTTAATAAAAAATATAATATAGCTATAGAACGTACCATTTTTAGACTCTACTTCCTCCTCGTAGAGTCTTTTCACACCTCGTTGTACCAGTAGTTGCAAAAGATTTTAATGTGTCAAAGTTGATGCTTTTTGTATTTGCATAGTTAAGACTAATACCTTTAACTTTACAAATATAATCGGTAACACGTTTAGGGGTTTCAACTTTGTACGCATAGCACTTGGGACCACACGATGCAAACTCGCTTATATAGCTACCTTCTCCGTAATCTTCTAATTCATCGGTTAAATCCCCTAAATTCGTCCCTGTTTCTAAATCTTTAGAATCAGGAGTGTCCGATCGAATGAAAATGATACTATCCGTATCGTAATACAAGCATTGTCTACCAATCTTCTCAAGAAGAGCATACAGTCGTAGTCTAGCCTGAGCTGTTGTGTACACGGCAATCACAACGTTCGTAATTCTCGAGGGTTCGATAGTATCATCTACTTTACACCAGTTAATATATACCACATCATCGCTTACCGGGAGAACACTAAGTATCTCTTTTTTAGGATCGCTAACTGTCTCGAGGAATGTTTTACCATCGGTTACAATCGTTGTTTTTGGTTGATTTTCACGTTGACCAAATTTTCCCCAGAATGAAT